CAATCAGATACAGTAATGTAAGCATCATTGGACAGCTACCACCAACACTGCCATAGGAAATAAAAAAACTATATTTCTGTTATTCAGAAAGAAACCATGATCATTGAACATTGAATGTTCCCAGCGTTGTTGTTTTTATAATGATAACTGTCGGTGTATGTTGATGCCTCACTGTTTCCAGGTAAGTATCGTCAATGTCACTTACATCCGAGCGTTACCTGTGTCCCTTTGGGGTCTCCTCTCCCCTCTGCCCTGTCTCATATATCAGACAGCACAAAGGAACAGTCTCTATTCTTCATGACCCCAAATTGACTCACTTTTACAAATGTCAGGTGTGTGTCCAGCAGCACCTAGTTGTCTGTTGAACAGCACCACTATCTGTGACACATTAGCCCCACTCTGTGTCCACAGGTTTGCTCTACATAGAAAACTACAGAAGAGATTCTTCAGCAGAGACTGAACTAACTCAACCATTCAAATGTTTCTGATAGGTTAGACTCCAATGGCTTACCATCCTTCTGTAGAGCATCAGAACTGCGGCTTGAGACCAGGTAGCATGCTGACATGGCCTGAAGCCTTGCAGAAGAATAACAATTGAAGAGTTTCATTCCAAAACGCTATATATCCATTTTCAGAAATGTTTGTAAATTAGCTTTTATTGTTTAAAGAAATCATGAAAGCGATTGGTGTGTTTTTTCACTATCTAATCATGGTATGATTCAGTGACAGACATGTGTTTGTTTAAAATCTATCACTTCATGGTTTCATTTCAGAGAGACAAATAATACAAATTAAAAAAGCTATATATCCGCCTCACAAGCTAGGTTTCCATCCAATTAGCGACAGATTTTCATGCAAATATTCTAAAATCTGCATTTTCCCACCAGAGATGGGTCCAACAAATTGACTTGTTGCAGATAAAAGGCTGTGGTTGATGACGTAGTGCACATAAAAATACCTTTTGCAGTTAAATTCCCATGTACCGAATAAAAAATTAAGTTGAATGGGTTTCCATTGCATTTTCAACTCTACTGATGGTTTTGACAGAAATATATATGTGTTATATAGTGAATGTGCCCACTCTGGTCTTGGCACGTGCGCTCTAGCCAACAGTTCGCAGATAAAGTGCAGATATGCTACCTACAGGATCAGGTTCTTATGAACATAAGAGCAAGATTATTTGTATTTGTCAAACGGCAGCCAAGTATCGATCATCATGTCACCAGAATAAGACCCTCGACAGGTATTGGAAAGGAGCATGAAGCTGCCCTTTCAGTTCATCATAATTTATTTCATTTGTAGCCTAATAAACTGCAAGTTTACTTTAGTATGATGGTTAAAGATCCCATCTTGTCTAGCGTATTTTGCTTTGTCGACATTTGGAAGGTTTACCAACAAATTAGCTGTTTCCATCAGGCCTGTCGTGACATTTTCTTTATCCGACAAGCACTTTTCTCGCATAAAAAGGTTGGATGGTAACCTGGTTACATTCAGAGAAATAAGTAGTACTACTAGGTTTTAACCAGTAAAATGTAACAAATAACTACATTTTTAATAAAGAAATGTACAAATGATACATTTGTGACATCAATATTTAAAAACTGTTTAAAAAATAATAATTCAATACAGTAATATATCTGTATGTAAAACATTTACATTTTACATTTTAGTCATTTAGCAGATGCTCTTATCCAGAGCGACTTAAAGTATGTGCATTCATCTTAAGATAGCTAGGTGAGAAAACCACATATCACAGTCAAATGTACAGGATACTAAAATTCCATTCCAACTAAACAATGGATATATAGTGTTTTGCAAAAAACATTTTCGTACACATCTAAAATCTATTAATAAAAAATCAGAGAACAGTAATATTTACACACACATGAAGATACCCATAAGCAATCAATTTTGATGAAAAAACAAACATTTGAAAAATTGGTGTATTTAGCTTTTTGGAAATAAACTCTTAAATTGCTACAGTCACCTCCAAAATCATTGGCACTCTTGATAAAGATGAGCAAAACAAGACTGTATAAAATAAATAATAAAAATACTCAGCTTATTGTATGCTAAAAATAATTGGGGAAATTATATTATGTTATACTAATACAATTGTTCAGAGAAAGAGATTGTATTTAACAAGTAATACATTTTTTTTCTCAAAAATGTGTATCTCACAAATAAAATCAAACAAAATGTAATTACTTTTTTAAAGCTAAACTCAGTTTATGGCTTCCTGTTTCACTGGGGTATAAAATGAGGTAACACACGTAAAGTCTCTTTGTCCTCCATCACCATGGGAAATGGCAGAGAACTCACAAACGAATAGAGACAAATGGTTGTTGACCTTCATAAATCAGGAAATGAGTACCAGGCAATGGGTACCAAAACATACCAACAATTTTTTATATATATATATATATATATATATATATATACCACTTACCACTATTAGGGCAACAATTAGGAAGTTTAAAAACCACTGGAACAGTGGTAAACTTGCCTGGTATTGGACACAAGTGTATCTTGTCCCCACACACAGTGAGGAAGATGGTACTGGAAGCAAAGACAAATCCATGTGCCAAAGTTGTAGAAATACAGAACTTGTACGTATCTTCGGGTCACCAAGTCTCGAAATCTACAATTAGACACCACTTCTATGCCAATAGGCTCTTTGAAATGGTTGCCAGAAAAAAGGCTTTATTGAGAGAAACCAACAAACGTAAACGCCTTTAGTTTGCTAAATGGCATTGGCACTTGGATTGGAGCAGGTGCTGTGGTCAGATGACATAGAGATCTTTGGCCACGCACACCATTGGTGGGTTTGGCGTTGAAAGAAGGATGCATATGCAGAAAAGAACCTCATACCTACTGTAAAATATGGTGGTGGATCATTGTTGTTATGGGGCTGTATTGCTTCCACTGGTCCTGGGGCCTGTGTTAGGTCAACGGCATCATGAACTTTACCAAGTACCAAGACATTTTAGCCAGAAACCTGGTTGCCTCTGCCAGGAGTTTGAAACTTGGCCGCAAGTGGATCTTCCAGCAAGACAATAACCCCAAGCACACATCAAAATCCTCAAAGAAATGCTTAATTTACCACAAAATCAACATTTCGCAATGGCGATCTCAGTCTCCGGACTTGAACCCCATTGAAAACCTGTGGTTTGAATTGAAGAGGGCAGTCCATTAGCACAGAAAGAAGGATATTAAGGATCTGGAAAGATTATGTATAGAGGAATGGTCTAAGATCCTTCCCAATGTGTTCTCCAGTCTCATAAAATATGTATTTTAAAAGGCTCAGTGCTGTTGTCCTTTCAAGGGGAGGGTGCCGGAGTATTCAAAACAGGGGTGCCAATAATTTTGACTCCTATCTTTTGTATTTATTTTTTATTACTAGTTAACCCTCTTGAGTCTAAGCCTTGGGGGGATGTTCTACTATGCCAACATATGGAATTGTTTTCAGATGGTCATACCATGGATCATTTAGCTATTTTTAGACCCATATTTAACCCCTTTGTTTTTGGCACATTCTACCCCACATTCACTTTTGTTCATTTTTACCACCCAGCAATGGGTTATGTGAAGCTTGTGTGGGTCGTAGAGCAAAACAGTCATCCGTGTTTGTGAGAATCTCAGCTTTCGATAGTGGGGCACTAATAGTTTCTACCTCAAACCGTTCAGACTAGACAGGCAATTTTGTGAGACGACCTGTTCTGAGTTGGTACGTCAGCATCACCGACTTCAGGCGACTCTCGTGAAGCTTGTGGGGGTCGTAGAGCAAAACTTTTCATGAAAAGTAACTTTTCGGCATCTTCTCATGTCTGACAAAATAAGGCGCTGACAAGCAAAGGTCTGGTCAACCCACTATAAGGAAATGTCTGGTTTTCGCTCATAAGTTAAAGACTAGCTGATAAACTAACATTTAAAACTGTGCCTATGTAAAAGTCACCAACATCTTAAAAAAAATATGCAACAGAAGATTACAAAAGGAAATGGAGGTTGTGTAATATATTATATACAAAGGCTTTGGTCTGTCTGTACAATCAACAATGGTTAATTCAGATATGTATAGATCCAAACCTTAAAAGGCTTTCAACTCTTGCAGGCCTTGCGCTACTATGCACTGTTGCAGTAAGAGGTTTTAGTAGCACAAAATAAAGTAAAACACTTAACTACAACTATAACAACGAACTTGTACCCAATTCAATGAAATTACATGAAAATGTGTATAAAACATACATAGAATATTCAGAGAAATATCAATGAAATTAACTTTATTATAGAAATGTTGTCCGGGAGACTGCTAGGGAGACAAATACTTACATTTCGACATAACAAACTGAATTATATCGAAGACACAATCTACAGTTTTTAGCTACCAAAAGTTTTTTTTCACCTCTTTTTTAGCGGTTAATGCTTTCCATTTACAATGATTCTGCCAGAAAGCTTTGGAAAAGAAAATAACAGAGAAATTGGCTTCTCGTACCCAGCTGGTACCTGCTGGTCCAGCTCTGCCTTGGAGTGATAGAAACGTGTTTCACCAGAGTCCACATTCTGTACACAGACTGGGAGAGCTTCTTGATATACGTTGATAAAAAACTATTCATGGCAGAAAATTCTTCACAAATGATCTTCTTTTCAGCAGAAGCAAGGAACAACTCAGTTTCACAGTCCATCCACGTTGTTCTTTTTTCATTATGACATACAAATGGTCATATACAAATACACCAAAAATGACATAAGTTGGAAACGGAGAACAGAGATATTTTTTCCCCATTAAGGATGTTACACTGGGCACTTTACAGAAGTCCTTTCTCTTTTTTTTCTTCTTCAAGTCTTTGCGTCCAAAGAATGATAGAGAATGGCACAATCCCAGTACAAAAGAGTGTCTTTTAGAGTCTATTTTCTCTTGTTTGTAATTAAATACTGCTGGACAGCCTCTTCTTTCAAGACAATATCCGAGGAGTCACACGTTGACGGTAGTCGTGTCTCTACTGTAGCCTGGGCCAGTACTGGGACATGTCTGCTTCACTGCCTGGGACTTGGACAGGAACAGATACTCCAGGAGAGATGAGACCTTACATGACAAACACAGAGCGATGGATCAGTTCAGGCACCATGAATACCTACTAATGTTTGCAAATGGTGATTTGTAATGTCTTGGATTTATTATTTTTTTGTCATGAACCATTTCTCTGCTTACCTGTTGAGTTGCCTCCTGAGCCTGCCATTGATTGGCTGTTCATATGTGCCTGCATATGAGGAGGGGTGTACGTGTCGTAGCTCCGCCCGTTGACTGAGGGACTGGTGGGCAGCATGCAGGAGTAGGAGGTCTGGCTGGGCACAGGAGCCTGGGGGGGAAACAGCACACAGGACAGTCAGATTCACCTGCCTCTCTGTCACCTAGCAGCATTTCACATCTACGGTCCCAACTACTAAGGGATGGGCCACACTAAACCATGGGAACATAAATAATGCACTATCATATTTAGTTTAGAAATTCAACATAGTATTTACTACAGCATTGCCAGTTATTAGCATTAACTTGTGATATGGATGCTATGCAAAGTAATTAGAAAAAAACACCAAAATGCTACATTAATTATTGGATCTGACAGTGACTTGATGTACTTACTTGCATAGGCAGGTTGTTGGCCATGGTGAAGCTTGGCATAGGTGGCAGGGCACTGTATGTGTTTGTAAGGGCTGTGTCTGGTCTTCCCAACATGGATCCTGACGAGAACGATACTGCAGGGGTAGGATATATACATTTATTTTAGAGACCATTCAGCACCTGATTGACATTTGCAACATTGATATGCAGGAACATAGAATGGATTGTGTGGCACTCCTGACTCTCACCCACATTTGTACACATTTTTGTTTTACATGCTGATGAGGCTACAGTTCTAAAATCCCATAAATGGATCCTACAGGCAATAAATGAAGGTGGAATGCACATGATGTAATAGGATGTTATGTTAAAGATAAAGATCACTGACTCCAACCTGGTGTTGTGGGCTGCGGGATGGACTGGTAGACACTGGTGCTGAAACTGCTGCTGATAGGGATGTGACTGGAGGAGTTACTGGCTTGCCGCCTTTGATTCCGGAGTTTCTCCTCTCTCCTCCACTTTGCCCTTCTATTTGAAAACCACACCTGAAACCACATTCATGTTTCAATGGTTAGTGTTGGATGTGTCAGTTCTGTGAATGTGGTTACAATATCCCTAAATTCAAGATGATATTAATGGGCACAAGGAGAGGTCACTGTACCTGTATTCTGGCCTCTGGGAGGTCAATCTTTGCAGCAAGTCTTTCCCTTGCGAAAACATCTGGATAGTGAGTTCTTTCAAACTCTGAAAAAATAAAATTAGTTAGAACTAGAAAGGAAGTAATTTAATGTGCTATACATCAAATATGCCTACAAAAGCATTCAGACTAATACAGTTGTGGAAAAAACTTCAAATTTGCAGTGAAACAGTTATTCAAAGTTTGCCAATGAAAACAGTAATCTGTGGTGATATTCAAAATGAATAGGCCAAGTTACGAGTCAGTCTTGATGCCTTAATTATGCTTAAAATATTCTAATTTAGTATCACCAGCTCATTAATGGGATTACTTCGGCCGACAGTTGGACAAGAACATGTGACAGTGGCCGTATAATGTACCTTTCTCAAGCGCTTCTATCTGTTCTTGTGTGAATGACGTGCGGTTCCTTTGCAATTTTCTTTTCAGCTGAAGTCTCATTTGGGTCTCATCCGAGTCTTCTCCATTTGAACTTATTGAATTAGTGTTCTCACCTCCGCCGTCTGACTGAGGGCAACCATCTGAAAAATAATGAATCAATCAATCAATACAAACTATCACTCTTTGTTCAGCTTTAATGCATAGCAGGAGGTGCACCTGTTTGGAAGTAAATATGATCAAGTTAGCACAATTATTGTATTTTCTTGCATTGGAGTTTCTTTTGCATTCCTTGGAGTTTAATGAGGCCTATGAGGATATGCCCAAAACCCACCTGTGCCTAAAACATTCTCTTATAATATGTGAAATGTTGAGACTTGTTGCGTTCTCTGCTCCTTCCAACTGATATTGACTGGGTTTGACAATTCATTGTGTTATTTTGACCAGATATTATTAGTTACATCAGGCTATAGAAAATGGCTATACAATGTTGAGGGAAACTATTCTTTTTGGCGTTGATCTTTTAGGACCATGTAACAATGCTTGTCTTGCTGAAATATAAGACAACATAGTAGAACCTATTCAGATCCCCTGAAATGCTTTAAAATCCAAACGTTCCCTTTTAAAATGTTATCTTTTTCCACAATGGCGTTTGTACACCCATTGAAATAACCCACAACACTTGAATAAAAGCAGTTTTTCACGACCACACAATACCAGGAGAGTAAGGGAAACTATTAAATTCACGGTCTGTGGAGGGGTTGGCAAACTTTCGTGGGCAGAATTTGAGGACACAATTGGAGGAGGCCACAAAAGGATTCTCTCGAGGCTCGCAGTGCCCCTCATTGTATGGAGGATTCCAGTCAACAGACTTTTCAGCTCAGTATGTTAACCTTTATGCACTACTATCATTAATCACTGTCTACTAGGATGCCCTGTTCAACGCCAGTTAGGATTTATGGTTTCTTTAGGCCATGGAAGAAAAACACCCAGCACACACTGAATGAGACATCTCTATGCTCAGACAGTGTTTGTTACATAAAGGCGACAAAGAAACCTACTGTGAGTTGAGGGGCCTCAGTCAGTCCTGTTGTTAGACACTTTATTCAGCATACCTTTTCTCCATTACATTATGCCTACGTAGCAAACGATACACATAGTTATGTAGGCCTAGATAAATCTGCTTTGGCAGTTTATTGTGTGGGTGATTCCCATTTCACAGTTCATGTTTTTTCTACATGCACAGGCAGGTTGCTCAGTATACCTAGTCATAAGCTGTATTGGTATGCTCACAGTTAAGTAATATAGGTGAAGATATATTTCAACAACTATATATCAGCAGTGACCCATCATCATATTTGTGTAGCTTATTCACTTTGCTCTGAAGTTATGCAGATGCTTTTCAGACAGATTGGTTGTTTCAAAACCAAATGTATTATTCAGAACGATGTGTCTTATTACATTATTGTGAACATACGCGAAGATGAAGTTATCCCCTTTAAATGTCCCTCTTGTGTCCAAAAATAAAGCTTATCAGTGACCAGTGCGCTATAGTTTTGGAGCTAATCCGTCAAAAGGAGTGAATGTGCGTTCTATTATCCTCAGCCAGACCAACTGTCGCTAGATTTGGGATTTGTTTTCATTAATAAAAGACGCTGGGAAATAAAACCATTCCTTAGTATCACGTGTCGCAATCAGTCAGGCGTAAAACAAGCCAACAGATAGAGAACCAACTGCGGCATCTTTCAGCAATAGAAACTAAAAACATTCTGGGACCCCCTGAAAGAGAAAGTGTCTAAACCCCATAGACAGCTTTAGTCCTCTATAAAGAAAAAAAGATAAGAAAAACTGTCACGTTGATCCCTAAAAACACGAAATCGCAAGCGAGAGCTTTCAGCCTCTCCTTGTGAAAGAGTTGTCTCTCTTCGGGCCCTGTCACTCTGATGAATCCACTATTTTATTCACTGTTGCGTGGCGTTTATCAGATTGAGACCATATTTCTCCCCCTCTGAGACCTCACCCTGCCGTATGCTTCCGGAGTAATGGATTCTTAATTTCCCTGAAATCGCACTCCATGGAAGTGTAGACACTTATGGCAGAACATAAGTGAACATACGATGTTGGTATAGCTGGCTGTGGTGTTAACACACACATTTTGGGCATATTTTGAATAGACAGGATAACAGTGATACATTCAAAGTACAAACACCAACAGCAGCAGCACTTATTATCATCGTTATTATTCATTTATAACAGCCTAATAGTCTATAATTATGCTAAGATTATATAGGCTTAGATTATATAATTAATACTATTGGGATACTATTATAATAACACTAGGGCCTACTTAATAATAATAATAATAATAATTATTATTATTATTATTATTATTATTATTATATACCATGAAAAAATGTATTTGTTACTCTTAGCACTTGGTCACCTTTCACCTTAATTTAATTGTTGGGGATATCTCATTCGAGATAGGTGTAGTTGCCAACAACAACAAAAACGCAGAAATTATGAAGGAGAAAAAACGGTTTATGTATTTCAATAGTGTCCATCCTTTATTGTTTAGTTCTCTTAAAACTGACGTGTCTAATTGGCAAATGGTGCCATATCGTGTCCAGGGGTCTCCCGTGGAACATTTCTACAGCTGTCTCCTCAAACTAGACGCTTATTCATGTCGCCTTAATGAGAAACAAAACGTTCTCTAATGAGCAATTACATAGCGACAGAACTGTTCCCATAACAAATTCTTGCGTGTGACAGAAACATCCTTTGTACAGATAGGCCTACCGCACACTGCTTCAGATTTTTTCATCCTAAAGCAGGTTGGATGGGGAAAATGTGGACTCATTGACGGACAACCAGATATAGGCCTACAGTATGGGCCAATAAATGCATCAATCGTGCAGACTAAATCGTACCGACTAAATTGTGAAATTACAACCTTATTGTAAAATACACTTAATCGAAAAACATGTCGAGAATTTGCAAGTTAATAATTAGTCGAATCATACCAAGTATCCTAATCTTTGAATCATTTTCGGGGGCATGGCACAGGCCTATAGGACAGCAAATGAATTACAGTTCCATGCATAGGTCAAATAAGGCTAATAAAGCCGATGCATTAGTGATAAACAACATCAGCTGAACTTTGATATCCTCAAAGATTTTGTAAAAAGTTATTTTTGTTCCCATGCTACTTTCAATAATGTAGCCTAATAATGTTGTAACACAATAAAATATAAGGAGATATTATTGTGTTAATTTTTTTAAATAATTATAATGATGGTAATAATAGGCCTGGTATAGTGATATACGACAACAACAACAACAATAATAATAGCTAATAATAATAATAATAATAATAATAAATCGTTATAGAAATGACCTAATAAAGACATTCTCACTCCTCTCGTCAAATCCAGTGATTCTCCTACCTGGGTTGGGCTGTCCTGGCACTGAGGTTCCGGGGTACCAGCCCGGCCGGGTCCCCCACGTCCCAGTCTGACCGTTCAGCATTCTCAACTTCTCATACATGCCATCTGCACCCATCTGTTGCTTTTCGCTAGCCAGGTTGCGCAGTACTCTGTTTATCGATGACACCTGAAAGACAAACCCAAAATGCTTCACATTAATTCAACGCGCTTCCCTTGGTTGTGACCGCACATTGGCTTGTAAGTGATCTGTCACATAATGTCATGCATACTCTCACATTCACAATATGTATTTGGGTAAGAAACTCGGTATCGAAATGGGAAATAGACAAAATATCAATTAAATGTATATTATCAATCGCAATGCGTAATTGTTCTGAAACAGGTGTACGATCATAAACAATATTGAGGTCAGTTGTTCGTTGTAATTTAACTCAGTTATTTTTTTTTTATGCGTATAAAATGGTATGAGTAGTAACTTACACTCAATGAACTTACACTGGGTATATTATCGTTTGTGCAGACCCCCTCTGAAAGCAGTCTGTCACGAATTTCCCACGCGAAGATTGAAGGGCACTCCCTCTTGTATATGGCAATTTTTCCGACCACCTCCGGAGTTGCTACTCTTGGTTTGCTACCTCCGATCGCCCTTGGTCTGATGGAGCCGGTTTCATAGTATCTGCCCAGAATCTTACTCACACAGCCGTTTGACACCTAAATAGAAAACAATAGACACAAATCACATACATTATTCAAGACTAATGTGTAATATATGTGTATACTACAAACATTGTTAAGCTTACGTTTTCATTGTCCAGCACTTGGACTTTTGCATCACCATGGGTCTATAACACAAGAAATATACCTTGAATGGTATAAGGTAATTTTACTTGCACTTTGTTGAAATGCATCTGATACTGGATCAAGACATCTACTTTGGATAGATATGTTTGCAGGTTGTGTCGTAACATTTCCTGGCATCACGACAAACCATAATTCGTAATTCACCATCCAAAATCAAAACTGCAACTTAAAATGGTTTGAAATAACAATATTTGGCTGTGCATTTAGTTGTATATTCTAAATAAAAATCACAGATTACAAATGTTATTCTAAAGCATTTTACTATGCAGACAGAGAGAAGAATGTAGTGTTATCACCTGCAGAATCCTGGATATATCGCACGGCCGCGCGCCACTGTGAGCAAGCTCGACTATTTTCTGTCTGGTTGAGTCGGGCAGGGGTCTGCCGTTGACGAACACTCCGCCGAGCTGATTCACTCCGCTGTGACCTGGGCAGAGACAGGGTTACACTCTCTTTAGTTAAGCCACGAATCAAGAGCTGTGATTAAAAACAGCAGCCTCTTCACTACAGATGTCTCTGATGCAAGTGTTTAGTGTTTAACTATGCAAAAATAAAAGTTATCAAGCAGAACAGGAGACTAAACAAAACTGAACGTTCACCACCAAACATAGAGGAAATCACGCTGGACTTTGCATATTGTGTTATAATTGCCATTGTTAATTTGTCATATGTTTTAAATGCTTTCCGGATATGCTCGCGAATATCATTATCTTCTACAATTTTGTTCTAGTCACACATGCAGAACATTGATTAGCCTCAGCGGTGTGGTATGAACTCGACCAAAACATATCCAGCCCACTGAGCCGATATCTGCGCATCTTTGCAAAGCTTTAGCTCAAATAGCGTAATGCTATTTGCTGCACAGCATTATAAAGTAGTAATTACAGTATACTGTCAACACATCAAACAAATCATCATCTAATCCTATGTATATCAACTTGATGTTTGTTACACAAGCCAAAACATCATAAACGCCCATGTAAACAGGTACTTTCATACGAGTCAATTAACAATAGCCAGCTTAGGATAGCCCAGAAACCAGACCAAACCTGAAGTCAAATGGAAAAGGAGCCTCCCTGTAGTCGTCTACGTTTGCTCTAGTTCTCCTCTCCCTTCCCTTCCAAGCCTCCCGTTAAATTGACTCTAAGAGCACAAGCTCCTTAGCAATAAATAAGCTCCAAATATAGAAGAGTGGGAAAATATGATGAGCCTGGCTGACATTTGTCTTTAAAATAAAGCTAGCTGCACGTCAAGTTTGAGCTTAATTTCTGGAAATAGGCGGAAGTCGCCCTGGATCATGCATGGAAGGCTAATTGAAAAGATCAGTTGGAGCACTTGTGGCAGGCATGTCACTTTATGACACTGCTCTGCTTTTGAAAATCGCATCATCACGACAAATAGTAGCATGATAAAACGACCCTTGCTGTCTGCATTTGGATATCACTCAGACTAAATTGGACCCTACTCATTTACCCTTCAAGGGAAGCTTCATTTTATGGTAGCCAGGGGGCTGTGCGCGGGCACGAGGATGGGAGCGCGCGTCGCTCTTAATATATAAAAAGTGACATTCTTATTTTTTTTCAAGCGACAAACCAACATAGCCTATATTTACACTGTTTTTATAAGTCTGCTTGAGATGTTAGCACTCTCCCTTGTTTTACATATGTTTGGTTACTGTGTTTTCAAATAAAAATGAGATTAAATAATAGGCAGGCCCTACATCAATTATAATATTATATTGGGCCTTAAAATAGAACATTAGGCTACATGTGCTTGTGAATTTGTTGTCTACTGCCATAGGGCTGAAGTCACAAATTCTAGCCAAAATCAGGGTGTAAATATAGGCTATTTGCTTAGGAGTAGACTGCTGTAAGAGCAAATCCATCGCTATGTCATTTTTTGTAGGTTAATTCCAGGATTAGATTAAATCAATTGTGTTTGTGCATTTGATAGGTCAGCAGGGAAAAGCATATTGAAGATTTATTGTCTTTGAACGCGCCTCCCGTATAGTGCTCAAATAAATCCACTTGATCACTGCCACACAGAGATAATAATATAAAACTTTCACTAGAAAGGTTAGGCCTAATTCTTTATCATTATATAATTCCCCACGGTGAGTGGTGTCGATCTCGCCGAGTGGCAATGATTATGCGCCTTGTATTCTATTGCAAGTCAATTAATAGGAAAACATATGGCGTCATTTTGGACGCTCAGTTCCATATACACCCAGGAGCTATTAGCACAAAGCCTGCAGAGCCAGCCGCGACCTTTAGACAGACTAAAGGCCTCACCCGAATCATATCTGCTCAGTATTTCGCTCAAAAGACCACCCCATATAACATTGCGACAGTCCATTGCCATCATATTTAAAAATTTAACAAGGTATGAATAATGGCACAAGCTTGTACAATCTTGTTTACAGGCTAATATATAGCCTAGGCCTAATGTTTTGGTAGCCAGTAGGTCCATTTAAAAGGTGAGGAACAGACACAATATGTCTGATCTTTAAAAAAACACCTATAATCAAATTAATGGCCAAAGAAAAAACTCGTATAGTCTATTACGTTTAGTTGAAGGCCTCAGTTTTCTTTTCAAATGTGAGAGGGAATATGGGGCCGCTCAATTATTTCATATGGCCTACTTAAACTGACCTAGATTCAAATGTTTTGTTTGGTTGGAGGTCTAACAAGTGTAGAGCATCACATCTTCCATCTGATCCTACGTCTATAACTTGATAAATTTAGGCCTGATATGAAAATATACATGAAGTTCAAGGCTAAGCCAAGGCAATATAATGTATTGGCATAAATATGAAAGCACACTGCAGCAAAAACGTGTCGTTCAGTTAAGAGAATGAGAGGTAAGCTATTCCACACACCTTCGTTACAGATGTCATACACCTCTTGTCCAGCATTAAGAAAGAACATATATGTATTTTATTGTCACTCTGCCAACGACACAACATTATTAATTATGAATTACTGAATAACATCTCAAATATGTAAATACTGCTCTAACGTTTATAGGTCCAATGCATTCATAAGAAAGACAACCTCTCATCAAAGCATACAATTGTATCCCACACTGTGGTAATATAGGGGTAGTGGGATAAGGGATAACATCTTCATAAACATTACATATTCTCCATGAGATGCATGCAATGTCCATTAGTGCATATAATGAACTATGTGAATTGGCATACCCCAACAGGCGTTTCTGAAATGCTATTTTATCATATCAAGAATAACCTTTTCTTTCTTTCTTTCTTTCTTTCTTTCTTTCTTTCTTTCTTTCTTTCTTTCTTTCTTTCTTTCTTTCTTTCTTTCTTTCTTTCTTTCTTTCTTTCTTTCTTTCTTTCTTTCTTTCTCTGTATGTGTGTCAAAACAACTGCATTGGAAGTTGTGCAATTGGCCAATAAATAAAACCATCTAGGCCTTCTACTTCCTTCTAGCGTCTTCTCTGATATGATAGTCCAGTTGCAGATATTAGGCTATATTTCAGTTCCTACACGTACAGGTTAATAGAAGCATACAGAAACATGACAGAAATACCACTGTGTGGATCAAAATATGACAATGAGCATACATAAAGCATTTCTAATTCAGCAAATGTAAACAAGCCCAAAAGTATTGGCCTTATTCTACACAAACATGCAAACCAACATCTTCAGCATAAATGTCATGTGCCAACTGCCTCTTTACAGCTCAATGTATAAGTTACTCAGAAAAAAACACGACTTACTGTTTTGCATCATGGACGCAACGCCAGATTCCCACGTGGCCCGGTTATAGTATTCTATTAGTCATGGGAAAAGAATAACAATGGTCAGTATTGGCATGTTGCTAATAATAGGCTATTACAATAACAAAGGTACATACACATCGCAGACATTGATTTGGTGCAATTAGAAAATTACGGTGGGCACTATATAACTCATGAATAACTCAGGATGCATTAGGCTATTATTCATTCATATTTTATAATACGAGAGCATAATATCGTCTGTTATTCTATAGGTTTTTGAATATATATATTCAGTGTTTAAACTTGCCTGGAAACAGTGTGGACTGTCCGCTTAAAACAATTTAAAGACTCTCTCATCTGCTTCTCACTAGTTAATATATTCTCCCTATGGACAAAGCAAAACATTTTATTAGTACACCTTAGCTGTCGTTTTTATTAAGTCAGACTTACTGCAATATTTTCCAACTCATTTCATGAGATGAAAAGCATTGCAGTAATTTTAGAAAACGTTAAATATTATCAGCTTTTAACTGTATTTTAGGTGTATTGAGAGTAGGCTACGTTTAGAAATACAATTAACGATGTTTTAATAAATTTGCATATTAAGAGGTGCATAATTGTTCAAGGCTCATCATGTGAATATTACTGTTATTATATTAGCCATGAACACTTTAGTCCATCCCCTTTCCATACAATTAAAAACTTCAGTAATATACGTTTAAGATGTCTTTAGATGTAGTCGTCTAGTGGCATACGCTGTCTACCCCGGTTGGCTGCTCTGGAAAGTGAAATCGGGAAGGGGGTGAAGGCTCTCCAACAAAGCCTGCAGAATTTCAACAATGGCGTCCTTTCTGCTTCTACACCAGAACCCAGAGTGTAGAACTGAGGCTCCCTAACTAGATACCCAGCCTCGTACTAACCGTACCAATAACTCTCAGGAATACAAAGAGCTGAAGGGAGCAACCCCCTCCCACTGCACCCATGCCCAGCACAACAACAACCCCCTCACACCGCCACAGTTACGCTGCTGCGTGCGGTGACCCGGTGTCCGTATCCCTCTGCTTTTTTAATTTTTATCAAATAGAAACGCAAATGATTGTTATAAATATCTGGAGATAATTGTGTTACTGGTTTTTCGTTAAGGGTTTGTAAAAAAGATACAACAGCTCAGTGGGGTGCTCAATTGGAAAAAGACAATTGCCATAAAGAGCCCATTCAAAACATTTGCCGAAAAGGAGGGCACTATGGAAATAGTCCAAGCTTTGATTTTCTCCCTTTTTATCTCCTCCTTTTTAAACAGGCGATGGATTGTGTGTGTGTATTTACAGTGTGCATCCACAAATAAATAACCTATACATCCAAGCATAGAGCCAAGCTGTGCAGCACGTGTTATTCCTATGTATGGTAAATATTCAAAAGAAACGGTGTAAATTCAACTAACTCATAATTACAACTCACAATTAATAATCCTTTATTACATAAAATTACATGCACTTTTGGTTCACTCATTGTAGACGTTTATAATTAGATAGGTGTAGCTACAAAGCATTTATTTGCATTTTTCTCATTCTAATTATTTTCAAATGTATTAATGCAATGAAAAAATTGGGAAAAGCAAAGTAAAGGGTTCCGAGTTTATAATGATTACATGTCTAAAATAATGAAATGTATTAAGCATGAGCTTAACCCGAAAGCTGTCTACTTGTATGAATATATGTAATATATATATATATATATATATATATATATATATATTTTATTTTTTTATTTTTTTTACTTCACACTGAGATGAGATGATGAAAAGCCAATAATTTGCTTTTTGTTCAAGTCTAGCTAGAATTGTATTATTTATTTGATGCAGTCCACAAAATAGGAGGGCCTCATCTGTATTTTGCCCGTTTTAACCCACTACCTCTGGAATTTCAATTGAACATGCATCTTCAGACTTGTAAGGCATATATTATTCCCTTCATTTATATACAGAAAAACTCAATACAGCATCAATGTCCGGCATGAAGTTGAACCCAATAACATGTTACATAGCTACCACCAGGCCTATATAGCTACCATATGTTTTGCCATTAGAATAAAGCAATAGGCCTATTGTACTGGAAGAGTCAAAAGCCTAATGCATATCCTAACGTTGTAAATAGCATAATCAAAATGAACCTCAAATATAAACAATGGTTTTGATGTTGAACTTTTTCTGTATTTTCTTCTACTTGTTTTATCTATTGCACGTAAAACGTTGCCTAATATGGAGTCATTCTAATCATTATCGTCCTCATTCTTTTGTGTGGAAAAATAGCTATAGGCTAAGCTTAATCATGTATTATTTATTATGAGTGGATTTCTGTACTGTTTTCACATAGGCCTATATGTCCTGCAAATGTTAAAAGGACTTTACTATTTGTGTTCAGTAAGTAGGACTACTTCAATTGTAATTGAATACACGATAAAGGGTTAGGGTTTGTGAACTTTAGGAAAAAGTTCACTGAGCATTTTCTGTGATGGTGCCCGGGTGAGTCTGACTGTATGATTCAACTTGACACTCTTGCTCATCGGATCATTGCGTCCCCATTCTCTGGACTGATTACTGGCCTAACGTGACTTTTTACTCTTTCCTGTCATAAATAAGCATTAAGCTATCCGCAAGCAACGACGGGATACAAGCAATACCAGAGTAAGAAAGAGGCGAACTGAAATGTTCCAATTAGGCTGCCACTAGTCTGCGTACCGAAGTTCCTTCATTAAAGCCGATATGACCATCACTGAAAACTTTTGAGCCAATCGGACTCTCTTCCTAAATTACAACAAAAACTTGCAAGTTATTAACTTTGTTTTAATTTGCCTTTTCAACACTTAGCCTACTTTTATTTTATGTTTCACTATAAAATAGTGTAATGTATAAACTAGGCTATACGCATGATTGTGTGAATAATGCGCGCTGTCTGAAATGTAGGTACAAAGTGCCAAGAAATCGGAGCTTACCTTTTTGAGGCATCCTGTGTACACTGCAGCCAAAGCCCTTGTTGATAAGTCTGAGCGCAAAAGAGACGGAGCCACAGTGCTGGATAGCCCCCTCGAAGGATTTTCCTTGTATATATTTTCCAAGTGATCTTGAATAGAGATGAAAATCCCTGTGAAGGAAGCAGAGATTGACAATAAAATGGGATGTCAGGACTGCGCGAGACTGAAAATGTGCGCGCGTGAGTGGGTGAGAGACAGAGAGAGGGAGAGAGAGAGAGAGAGAGAGGGTAGCGCACCTACGCTGATTGGTGATGGGACTAGTGTATTAATGTATGTGTTCCTGGTCTGTGCCTCGCCTCCACTCCTCTTCAGTGGCCCATTAGCAGAGCCTGACCTCTGTCATCATCTTCTAGCGAAACACTTCCTCCTACTTCGTGGTGCCAGAGCGGGAAACGGGGCAGAGCCAGAGCTTGCTTTTCAAACCCACTAATCACTCTGCACATGCACATTAATTTCTCATTCTCTAACACACACACACACACACACACACACACACACACACACACACACACACACACTGAATATTTCCTTTAGAAATGCTATTGGATGAGGGATAGCAAGTGCAACTCACAGGGCTCCACGATCGTGGAACGCATACAAGATTTCCTACACTAACCATGAACCTGAAGTTACAAATGGATGTACGGGCAGTGAACACATGCTGCGCGCCGACCTCAAACGGATCAACATTAACCATTTGCAGTCCATCTTCATTTTTGATCGTTTACGACTGATAATCCACTGATAAAGACCAATAAAAACACTGCTTTTTTCATTTACATAATGTGATACATTAACGTTTATATATTTTAAACATCTAAAGGCTGAATTGAAAGATTTAGTTTACTGTATTATTTAATTAAGGGATTTATTAGGCTATAGCTTTTGAAAGCTTTGGCATAGCGTACAATCTTTACGCAGCAGCCTAATGGGCAGAGTGCAGTCACTGAAGCAAGCGCAAACTTGCACGTGTTGCTGTTGACTCTGACATCACATCTGGTAGATTTGTTTGTTTACCCCAAAATGACAAACAATATCCATCGACTAAATGAATATAATACCGAGGCTGGCTTAATTTTCTATAGATGAAATGATAGGCAGGACGCAGCGTCGAGGCCTCTAAAGGATAGATAACACAGGACGTAAATATAAGCAAATGTCTTTGCAGTCATGACCACACACCCGAACTACATTTGTAGAATGCCTGGCTATTAATGCAAACCTCAGCACACTCCAAAGCAACCCTTCCTTGCCTGCATTTGAGGTTACACTTGGAGAACCAGTCTCGGCTAGGGGTGATCCAATCATTTGTTCAAATGGAACAGATTCCGGATCGTGGAATAGGAAACGAGGGGGGTTGTGGCGTGGTGGGGTAACCCAAAAGATGGGTGAAAAGTGTTGCAACGCGCAGAGCATAAAATGAAGTCGTGTTCGTGGATGCTTACACTTGACTTCCTTTGAAATTTGAAAAGTGCTAAAAGTCAGAGCTCATCAATAAACTATCTTGAAACTGAATAAGAGTCCTGACAACCATTGCATTCCCAACTAAAGTACAATGCGGAGACAAACGACACTGCCAAAGAGTTTGCATCGCAATGAAAGGGCGGCTGAATGGGAGCGGGATAATGAGCTCCCGCGACCGTCATGCACTGTCATCTCGAGTCCCGGGGTGAAGCTCTGCAACTTCGTTTAATATTTTCACATAACTTTCATTCCACTCCTCTAAAATCCTTGCTGCGAATTATTTTGACGCGGACGGTTTATTGTTGCCACTTTGGCACACACTGTGAAAGAATAGTACATTATTTTAATTAAATGTTTGTTTTCTGATGCCAAAGTTGGCCCATCAAAACAGGTTTGTATTAATAGCAGAGCAAGATGCTACTTTTCAGTAGGTTGCATGAGGTATAGGCTACTCTTTCAATGTTGCATTGATTTGAAGGTTTGTGTGTAGTAAAATATTTGTTAATAGTTAAGATGGGCGTGTGAATAGGATATTTTATTTGAATATTTTATGGATCTTTCCGAGCATGCACGGCATAGGTCAAACATTTTATGCATGCAAATAAGCAAAACATGACGATGTCAAGGCATGTTGAAAATACAGTTATAATTGCTTTGATGCACATCTATGGACGAAAAGGCATCTTTACAAGTTTACCCTGAAACTGCAGTAGGCTACAAAAAAAAGTCGTCTTTCATGTCCATAAACCCACTGAAGAACCATGCAGTGCACTGCTAACAAAGTTTGTTATATTGTAATGTACAAACCCCAATTACTTCCTCTTCACTCAATTCAATGAGAAGATCCTAGATCAACCTGTTGTAAGACTGCTAAACAATAGCACCAATGGATCATTTAATTATTTGGAAAGACCTAATCCGCCTTGTTCTTGTCTTGTGGTTGAGTTATCTTGTTACTTGACTGCAGATTGAACTTGTTGAAATCAACAAGTGTAAAAAAAATCAAATGAATAAATGTAAATCCATTAATTGGAACAACTCAGGCAACATTCACGAGTTGCAAATGCAATGTTGAAAACTAACAATTAGCCTAACGCATTTCGGATTAGCAGAAAGTACTCTCTCAGGCCATGGGAGAAGACTGTAATCTTGTCGCTCTTTTTCCCTCGGGCAAACTGGTCTTTGAGGACCGCCTAAAAAGTTTTGAACCAAAAAAATTATAAGGGGAGGTCGCACTGAATACGGCTGACGTCATCCTTGTGAACACAGTGACAGATAATGGGGAGGGAGGAAAGGAGAGAGAGCGAGAGAAAGAGAGAGAGAGGGAGCGAGAGACTAAAAAATATCACCCAAAGCGAATGTGTGTTGATATACCCATTGATTTATCAGCGGTTAATGAGAGGATCGGTTCTGGGAAACGTAAGATTATGAACATTAATATTATATTCAACAGCTAACTAGTTGCATAGCAATTGATCTTGGAGTATCACCGGTAACAAATTAGAAATTGTATTTAGGCTATACTTTACAGAAATTATCTGCTGCCGAATTAATAAAAGTTGTGGAATAAAACCATGAATAACTCGTTTGTGGAAGGAGGGGGGTAATACAATGTTTTGTCATGGCTATACCTGCATTGTTGGTTAAGGGCTATTAAGTAAGCATTTCACTGTAAGGTCTACACCTGTGGTATTCGGTGCATGTGGCAAATACAATTTGATTTGATTTGATTTGGTCAGGCTATATGTGTTTATTAATTGTGATGCTGGCCCATATTCAGAATTTTAAGTATAACTAAAGATCTTGTCATATTCAGGACATGGTTCATTGCCAGATTCTTTACTTCCAACACTTGTTTAACCTGACAGCAGGACTAACGTATTCCTCGATAAATGCCACTTATTAGGGAGGTGTGGAAAGTGGCTCTCAATTTAGTCATGAGGTAAGCTTCAGTGTACACTCACATTATTTTACTAACAAAGGCCTAACTAGGCAAATACTACGGTTATATCAACTCTATAACCTAATAACACACACACAAACAATTATTTGTATTAATTGCTATTATTTATATTATTAACAATTAAACATGCTTGCGTAAAACTGTAGTTGCAATAAATCTATAAAAGGCTACGTTTACGTTCCTTGTGTCCTATGTAGGCCTATAGCCTGTTTAAGCAATCTTTGTGGACAACATTCCATACTCTAGTATCACGTGAAGACTTACCTCGGGTTCAATAAACATGTTTCCTCGAAGCTCAGTGGGAACAACACAGGGAAATATGTTTGTAAAAGGCTTTAATAGCAAGGATCAATATATCTAAGCCACCACACCTGGAAAGCCATAGGCCTATAAAGAGTATTGGTTGACAGCGAAAGATGTATAAAGTCATACCTGGTAGAAAGTAAAGATCCACTTCACTTGCGTTTCCAGTCCGTGTTGATCATAAAACAGAAGCAATAATGTATAGAATGTGATGTTTAGACTCCATGGTTTTCATGTAACCTATTGAATTGCAATCTGTTTCCACGTCGATGAGAATATAAAATGACAATGTCGCTTCTACCACCAACTTTCGACTAATATCATCCACAACTTGGCAGTGATTGGCAGCAGTGCCGCTACACGTCACTTTGGACACCACTTATCACTCCGCTAACTATGAAGTCGCGGCGGGAGATGTCCAAACCTACTTATTAGTGATGTCTTTTCAGTGAGCCGGCTCATTTGTCTCCGTTAATTTGTCTCCCAAACGGCTCGTCGTTCAGTAGCGGTGAAAAATGTAGGCTACCTAAAACCATGGGGAAATATCAAATATCTAATGTAAAGCTTACAATATGTCTGCCATTATGTCAGATCGTGACATGTGAGTTCAAATACGTTTTTACCTGACCAAATTATTCGACGCCTGCAAAAAAAAAGAGAAATATAAAAATGAACACATTGCGTGAATGTGTGTGGACAAGAAAAAGGCTCTCTCATCACCATCTATGGTTCCTGCAGTGAGGAATTACAATCGTCAGAGAACGTTTTTATAATTTATCTACAGATAGGCCTAATCGTTGTCTGGAGCTCAAAAAGGAAATAGTAACAGTACGCAAATCAGGGAGCCAAATGAACGGCTCTTTCACAGATGCGATTCGGTTCCTGACGTTCACCAAAAAGAGCCGTTCAAAAAGAGTCGTTCATTCACGAACGACCCATCACTACCACTTTAATACTTGTCTTGGGGGGGCATACAAATAATATTAATATTAATATTAATAATATTAATATTAATAATAACTATTATTATTAATATTACTATTAGGCCTACTACTACTACTAATAATAATAATAATAATAATACGTTTTTTATTATTATTATTATGTTAAAATAATAACAATAATGTCATTATTTAAAAAAATATATCCAATAATACCAATATTTCCATCAAATATCTAATACAAAAAGTTGGGAAAACATTTGCTCATGCAGTGCACCATTCATTTACAGGGTATCCAGTCTCGTGCTCAATCAAACAGAAAATGAAAAAAATGGTCTACATTAATTATTATTATTGATTCCCTAGCCATGCAGAGCGCGGTAGCAATACCAAGAGGCCTACATCCACAAGCATTTGTTTGCAGCGAAGCTGATGGTAAAAGTCCTGGGACTGACCATGTTACCACATTACAGCTGTGAGTTGATAAAGGATTACCTCGTGGCAAAACTGGAGTAACTGTTGGATGCTTTAATGGAGTGAGGT